GTTTCAAAGTTCATTCTGCTACGACTAGATTGTTTTATTTAGGTTATCTAACTTGCAACAATCAGTCAAGCAGTTATTTTTGGTTATCCACAATATCATACTTTTATTTGAATTGTGAGATTTTTATCTCTATTGCAACCTAATCTGGGTACAAGTTATGAGAGACTTATCCGATCAATAGTACAAACAATTCAATTTTGGCTCGGCCTATCAATTATAATTCTGTACTTTGGATTTTTTTATAAAATCGCCGGGGACTTTGAACCTATTAATTCTTCAAATACAGCGAATCTTGAAAGGTTTTTCCAGAAATCTAAATAGTTGCTTGTTAAGCCAATTCAGCCATTTCTTTGATAATGATGACGACACTTGAAATATTTTCAAGTAATTTTTTACCTCAAAAGCATTTTCTTTTATTATTATTTTTTTAATTTATCAAGGACAACTAAGGGACTGACATGAAAATAAATAATTTTTTCTTCGGTTGTTTACAGCTCTGTGCATTAGTGAAAAAAGCGCAACAAAACTAATTTGTCGATTTGGACAAACATGTTCTTACATTGTCTCGATGAAAAGTATCAACACATTCGCCGCGTCCTTGCAAAGTTTCTGCGAGATGACTTTTCGATAACTTGTTAAGCCACAAGGTTACTTTGGTCAGTCGCTCATTTTTTTATTATGCTGATTACACGCGCGCCAACACGTGTCAAGCGTCAAGAAAAGTTTGAAACTCTCTGTAATTTGCTCATTACATTTTTTTTTTTAATGAAAAACTCTTTTGTTCGGACCAACAATTGTTATGAAGTGTTTCTATAACAATAATGACCGAGTCACGTTTTGAGCAATCACGTTAATTCTCGCGGTGAATAAAAAGCTTTGCATTATAGAATTGCGCGAATTTTTCCTGCTCGGGGGAGTTGAAAAAGAGTTAGTGCGGCATTTTGCACAGTTGCCCGTCGCACGTGTTTCGTTGGCGTCCGCAAAGAAGGTTGAAGCACGTGGCCCGATAAGTGCCAAAACTGCTCAACAATTTGAGCCAAAGCTGACAAAAATTCTTCCAGATTCATAGAATCAATCCTTCTGTACCGTTTATTTATGTCAAATATCATTTTTTTGTAATTAAATTTATAGTTGAAATAAATATTGTTGTAACAATTATTATAAAATAAAAGCTGAAACTTTTTGGTATAACTTCTCTTTGCCTTTAATAATATCTTCAATGCAAATTTATAGGAAAATACTTAATTAAAATAAGAGAAATTATACCAAGACCTCCTTTTCTTTAAATAATATTTTTTCAATGCTAAATACTGATAATACGCCTTGGTAACTGTAGCTTATCTGTCTGGATTTTTTTTATAACCGGAAATAGCCACTTGCTACCAGTATCCGCTAAACTATAAATTTAAACAAAAAAAGATTTGAAATTTTAATATCAGAAATTTTATATCTTCACTTCATAAAAAAATTAACAATACACTCGTTTTTTTCTGTCTTTTTTTTAAAATTTACATAATCATAATAAAGATTGATTTTCAATGAATTTGGCTTGCAAAGTTTCTTCCATTTCAGTCGAAATAATTATTCTCAGCACGTTTGCGAAAGTCAAAACCAGTATATCCAATTAACGCGGATTGTCCGGCTAGTCTGAATGTGCTCTTTGAAAACATTAGTCACGAGATGTAGAAATCTCAAATCCAGACGCTGAATTATCACATTCGGTGACAGTTGAGAAAAAACAGGGTTAATTCGTCCTGCTTCTCTTTTATAATTTAAGCCGAGAACGAAATTTCACATCCAAATACTTTTCTAGAGCACCTCTCTTTTTTTCTTTCTCGGCCGGCGGGAGAATCGAGTTCACGTGCATAATTTTTTTAGTCAAGGAATCTGCATTCCGAAGTCATCGGATCGTGTTGGAAAAGAAGAAGACTTGGCACAAACAGCCACCGGACACTTGGTTTCAAAACTTTTCTGAACTCGTCATCTGATGGTACACTTACTTAAATGCATATTCGAGTCCAACAAACTCGATTCCCACGCACGTGCGACGCTTCTTCAGTTTTCCCCTCATCATCACACGCTGCTGCTGCTGCGTTCATTCCTTTTTCAGCCGCTGGCAGAAAAATTAGCAAGTTGCGCGAAAAGAAATTAAACAAACTTTTTGTACTTTAATACATGTCAGCATTGGTCTATTCAGCTTTAGGACATTAAATTGCGGCCGTAAGTTTAAAAAAGAAATTTAAAGCCAAAATTTAGTACAAATAAACTGAATTTTTAGTTTGGCTTTTTGCAACAATTTAAAGCAAAATTCAACCCAGTAAAAAATATTTGTAAAAATATATTATTTTTTGTCTAATAAATTTATGGCAAATTTTATCTTAACTACAAAATTAACACTGACAAAAAAAATTCAGAAATTTCAAATCATTTAAAATTACATCCTTTGTAATTTATTCTTGAAATTAACTTATTAAATATAAAATTAATTATTATTGTAGGTTGCGTTTGTAAGTTTAAGAGTACGCTATGTTCTTGGTTAATTATTTTATTTTAGGGAGGTGTAATTATTTTAATTAATTTAGTTTTAAATCCTTTTTTTATTAATTAAGAAAGCTTTTGATATTCCTGATAATTTGGAAAACAACTAATTTGAATGACTCAAATGGATTTTGTAATGTTTTTCTTTCATTTTAGTATTTACCAACATTATTGATAGTTAAATAAAAGAAATAAAATTTCTCAATGTGACCACCGTATTTTTCTCAATTTTCACACATTTCTTGTCCTTTCAGGATGTGTTGTTCTCTTATCAAAGTTAAGTTGTTAACTGTTCTAGAATGAAATTTCTCCACTTTTTTACACTCTATCATTGAAGTGGTAAAAAACTGAAATGATAGCTGCATTATTTCTGATTATACATGTTGATGATAAACGCTCTAGATTTTTCTAAAACCAAATTAATTAGTAAAAAAATGTAATCGTGTGCTTCCGGCGGGCGAGATAGATTGCCAGCGGCGAAATCAAATATATCACATTTCAATTTTCAACGCAACGTCCTGCCTTTAAAAATAGCAACTCGAACATGTACCAGCAAGTCTCACTGCCAAAGGGAGCAGCCAACGATGATGTTGTGCCTCTGATTGAGCGACTTGTTGCAATAATGCGAAGAAGAAGTGCCGTGCAATTTTGCACGTCCACTTCTTTTCACCGCAATTATATATTAAAAGTACGGCTCGCGTTCCTCGAAGAAAATTAAAATCCCGCCGTTTGTGTGTTTTTTCGTGCGAGTCGAACATAATAGCGATCATTTGCATGCGCTGCCGAAATAAATTCCGGTTTTGTATGCTAATTGCGCGGCGGAATGGAGCATTTAAATGTGTGAATTGCGTGCCATTATTATGCAATCGCCGGATTAATCGCGAATTGTGTGCGAGCGGAGAAAATTTCGTGACTCGCGGCTCTTAGCTTTCGGCCTGATATGCCGCAGGAAAACGCGTTGCATTGTTGTGGAAAATGTTTGACTTCGTGTCGGTTCGACTGTGGAATTAAAAGTATATATCAACGCGTGGGTTTCAAAATAGCCCAGCAACGCACGACGGAAAAATTGGAATAATAGCATTCATTTGGTGGTAAATTGTTGCTGGAAACTCTTGGAAAGTGATAACATAATTATTTACCTGGCAGTTTCAAAGAAAAACCGCGTGAAGGGTAATTTTATGTCCTTTTGAAAATAATTTACTGAAAATAGTACAAACAAAAATAATATTTTAAACTTTTGTATTATAAACTTTTTCACTATTTATTAGTTTAGAATGATTTCAAATTTATTAAACTCTGGAAGCAAAATTTCTTTTGAACTGACCAAAACTGGGAAAGCTGTTATGATTTTGATTAAAAAAAATGAAAAATTATGTTTTAATTCCATGAACATCTCCTCGAGTACCAAAACTTATTCACGAAAACAATTCAAATTTTTACAAACAATAACTTAGAAAATGGAAATGAAGAAGTCGGGCTTGTCCTCGTTGTAAAAATTGTTTTTATTAAAAAGCAAATGGTTTTTTTTAACAATTTTAACAACGAGGACAAGCCCGACGTCTTCATTTCCATGATCATCTCCTCAAGTGTCAACTTCTTCAAACAAATAACTTAAAATATTGAAATTATTAAGTTATAAATAAATTAAAACTATAATTGCTTCTTATAAGGCATAAGATAAAAAAAAATGTGGTGGTATTGATCAGTTTTGACGTAATTTAAAAAAAGCAGCTAAAGTATAGCACAACTCTGTATAAAATTTAAAATTTAGAGGGCAATTTTCAATTTAAAAATGAAATATTCCTCTTCTCCTCTAACAAAAAGATGAAAGTGCACCATAAACATGAGCATTTTTGTTTCTTTTTTTTTTTAATCAAAGTATACCTCGTTCGTGAATGTTATTTTACGGTGCATGAAGCCTCGGTCCCATCATTTTGTGTCATTACCTGCGCACAAAGAGTCAAAATACGCCAAATATATTGCCAACGAGCCAGCGCGATCCCTGTGCAATCAGAGAAGATAATGAAAGGAAATACGAAAACCATTAACGGTTTTTTAATGAGTTTTTTACGTTCCATGGCAAACAATTTGGCTAATGTCCTCGGCAAACAGAAATTTAAATTTGAAAAGGTGCTCAGAGCAGCGTGGCAGAGACAACAGGAAAGTAAGTGTTGGCCGGCGTGATTATTATCTTGGTCAGCCAGCAGAGGAACTGATGCAGAACCCTGCTTTTTCCATAGTATAACAATACACATGTTTCCAAGTGATATATTTGTATGGCACTGCTATCATCATTTTTTTTTTAATATTATTCAAACAAACGCGGCGTGGTGCGATGATCCGACCGCGATAAGGCGAGAGAAAAACCGACTGCTGGAAACAATTACGCCTGGCTTAGTTTTTAATCTAATTATGCAAATTTAATAGTCCTTTTTATGTTAAATTCGCTTCGTGTGTTGCAGGTTCGGACTACATTTGGGGCACAGGACCTGTTGGAAGAAAGTGCGAGAGTGAGTATATTAAATTTTTCAAACATTCCTCACCCCGTCGTCCCTTTTTATCTTTTTTACTTCTGCCGGGAAGCACGTCGCTCGTAAACATTATTTCTTCTCATTTCATGGTAAAATGCCCTTTTCATCATTTTTTCCACTGCCATTTGTCTCCCGGCATGCAATTATTTGGCAGAGAGCACCCGGTCGGTGGCTGTTTCTTCTTTTTTTGTTCATGTGCGCTAAAAATAACTCCGGAATTGCCTGCTGCTCTTCTACACACACTCGAAGACGGCACGCACGAGGAGAGAGTGAGGCAATAATAAAAAAATGAGGAGTCGATGCTGGCGTAATTTTGGACTTCCTGCTCCCCAAGAAACAAAAAAATTCGTACCGTGGCTCTTTTTTGTTTTATTGCTGCCTCGCAAAACTTTACAGAGGGGTCTGCGCAAAAGAGGCGAAAATGGCGTTTTTCACTTTCAGGGAAAACCGTGTTAATAAATTTTGAAATATAAAGTACCACTTTCAGCTGATTTTCCTGTTTTGGGAAGAATTATTGTGCCGTACATCACTGTATGTTTGTCGGTTTGAAAATTTCTCGCTTTCCGACAGCTCCGACTGATTTGCGTCATCATTCAGAACACCTGCGTACATTATATTATGAATCATTCTCCCCCGCAATGATGGAAAAATTGAGCAAGAATTTTCCTTTCCTACACCTTGATCTCGGTATATTCGAGAATTTGTGTGATAAAATGAATCAATCGTTTTGCCTCAAAATCCATATCGTCAATGGTAAACTTGCCTCCCTGTGGGCCGCAAACTGATGTATTATTCATTGCACTTTGTCCTCGTAAAAGTTCAGAGCTCTTGGGAAAAAATCAATATTTAATTATCGTATATAGAACTTTGAAAAGAGTCCAACTAATCAGGATATCAAATTGGAAATTGGGGTTGAGTTTGCATTAAAAATTTAATCACTATTAAAATTGAAGCTAATACACAACAAATTTTTAACTCTGAAATAGGCTCGGAATAATTTAGGTGATTTTTATGAAGAGCTTATTTAGATTCTTTTCAAATCTGCCAAAATATGTGGCAAAGAAGTAAACAAAGATGAATATTTTAAACATATCAAAATTATGCGTTTTAAGATAAGGTGTATTTAGGCGAAATTTTTATCAGGCCGTTTGGAAAATATGCTAGATTTTAAGTCAACATTTTAAAAACAACAATCGGTGGTTAAAGATGAATAATATAAAACAAATGGGTGATTTTTGGTGAAAATCGTTGCAATAAGGTAGTTTTCAATGTTTATATTTAAATGATTTTATTTAGACTTAAAAAAAAAATATTAAATTTTTCCATTTTCAGGTGAAAAAGATTTTACCAACCCCCAATTTGGAGTTTTTTTTTTCAATTTTTTTTTCATATTCTCAATGAAATTCTATGAAGGACTGAGCTGCACTTTTTTTTTAGAGATTTTCATCAATTGTTTAAAAATAACTTCCCTAATTCTAATTAATGCCTTTGTGTAAATTAAAAATTCTACTTTGAAGTTTTAAAATGATTTAATATTGTAAGGTAAACAAGAATTTGATTACAATTTAGTAATTCTTGGAAAAGCACCCCTTAAATTTTGAAGCGTAATATCCTTCCTGGAAATTCTTTATTAAAAAAAGGAAATTAAAGTTTCCATTCAAATAACTCAGGAAAGAGACACTTGGTATGAAATGTGGCGCGTATATATTTAAGTCGATAGATTTTCTCCGAACTAATTCCACTTGCACACGGGACGTCGTAAAAATTTTCCACAAAATCCAAGTGCTCTCCGCCGGCCAATAACAATAAAACTGCCAAAATTGCAGAGCGCACTCTTCCACAATTCGGTGCGCGCGTGGTTTAATTAAATCGGGCGGCACAGAATGCCATTATGCACATCGATCTGCGAAACGGCCCTCGGATTCCGCAGGCCCATAAAATTTCGAAATGCTGCGCAATTCTCGGGCGACATAAACTAAAAGCCCTCATTGTCCGTGTGCCAGGGGGTTGGTTTCAGGCAGAGTTATTGCTTTGATTTTGAGGCTGTTTTGCAGCCGGCGGGCGGGTGTAGTGGCGCGGAGCACAATCGCTGCGACGCGCCGATAATTGCGGGCATTTGCATATTAATTGGGGGTGCGACGCTCTCTTCCGAAACCACCCCCGGAGGCCTCGCCGCAGTTGTTGCGAGCGAGCGACGCCGGCCGGGTAGCAACCGAGCTGCGCGCAAATCCTCTCTTCCTTCGCCTGACGCAATCGAACAAATCCACCCCCCGCGTCAAGGGGTAGTTTACAACCGACACGCACTCCTCGGATTTGTGCCGAAAATAATTGCAACATCGCTCTCGACTAAAAGCTCTATTAAAATAAATCGTTCTCGGACAATTACTTTCCCTAAAATCAGAGCTTCCGTTGGACTTTTTTGGTGGCACTTTTCCTCAAATTAAAATTTCATTGTTAAGGGATTTCGTACAATATTGATTTTACTCAAAAATTGACAGCTCCAAAAGTTCCCTAAAAATTTCCATTAAATTTTGAGCTCAAACTACTTGTTGAATGATTTTTTTGCTTAATTATGATGAAATTTTTATCAAATACAGTTAGAGAAAAAATTATAAAAAATTACATTTTAAGCAATATTAATTTCATTTTTCCAGATTCCTTCATTTTTTTTTTATCATATCCCTATGGGAAAAAATTATTGTTAGTGTACGAAAGAAATAATCATCAAAATTTATCGGACCTTTTGTTTCTTAGAAATGTATTTCTGATTCGGTAATTTTAATCTTTTACTTAAATTTCTTTGAGATATTATTTATCAAGATTAAAAACAACAATATTTTTTATTATTAAATAATAACATGTTGAATATTGTAGTTTTTATAATTATTTCCTACATTTTATTAAAACTGCAATTTCTTTACAATGTTTTGTATTCTTTAATGGATATTTTCAGCACAATGCTGGCGTCCCAATATAAAATACACCGAGTCGATATTCGTTGAATTAGATAAAGCTCTCGCGCCGGAATTCCACATTGAAGGAGGCTTTTGATCTTTTCCGCAAATCACAATTTGCTCGCTCGAGATTGCCACAGAGAACGTCTGAATTAACTAAGTAGCGCTCGTTCGCCCTTTGAATAATTCACCGCGCCCCATAACAAGCTTAGCAACTCTCCCGCGGGGCTGTGCGATGCGGTTTCGGAAGAGGCTGCATCCTCTTCTGATGGGCTGGGTTCTTGGAATTCGGGATAAGAGAGTTGCTATGCGTTTCCCGAAAGTGTCCGAGGTGGACGAATTTGATAAGAGACGTAAAGCCAGGGGCATAATAATGCTTAGAAACTTTCATGCTGTTTCATGCTGGGCTTGAGTTAGTTGACCGATGAGACGGAATTTGTCTAATCCCAGGCCACATCACACGAGCTTATTAGCAAACTAATAATGCTTTTACACAACGTGCTCATATTGCTTTTGATATTATGATGCTCGGAAACTTTCACGATAACAAAGCTAATTAAATTTTATGATTACACAAAGCCCGCAAAACTTTGGCCCGAAAAATTGAATTAGTTTGCACAATAATTATAATAAATCCCCAATCAAAATACCCTTTCATTAATTTGACCACCAAAAGCTTTCCAAAAGTTTTCAAATAAATTGTATAAAAATAAAGTATCCAGCTAAATATGAATAAAAGTTACTTTTTTTAATTTAATTCACCAGCTTTTAATTTAAAAAAATAATGTCAATGATTTTAGATTTTTAAGGTATTTTATACTGCCCAAAAAAATTCGAGAAATTCCATTCAAGTGGTGTCTGCTTTTAGCAAAGAACCTACTTTATGCTTTATGTGTAAAGTATTCAAATTCTTAATGCTTCAGTTTATACAACTGTAATTGAATCCATATGGAGATCTCCCCATTTACAGTTAAGCTTAATACTTGTCCAGCAGAAATAAAACCCTTTTCCGCTCTGCTATTAACCATTCATGATAATAACAAGTTCTTTTTACTGCCCATTTTTATTCGCTGCAGGGACAACTCGAGAGGAGGCGGGCTCATTAAAACTAGTTTTACTACACGGAAAAATTATGTCAATATTTATCAGCTCTTTGCTTTGAATCAAATCAGTCTCCAGAGAATATCAAAATGCTTTTTGGAAAGCATGTTTTTTTTGTGAAATTAAAGTGCTGTGATGAAATTTTCCCATTTTGGGAAGCAAAATCTTCTTTTTTTGCCTGTTCGCACTTAACAAACTCTGCGAGCATATCAGACTAAAAAAATTATACGCAGCCACTTTTTGCGGAATCCAATTTGGAGCGACTCGAATTAGCAAAAAGCAGCCAGTTTCGCAGCACAGCAGAGGAAACGTACAACTCCATTCCGTAATATAATGTTAGTTTACGATCGCAGCGCGCTGCTTTTTGTGTGTATGCCCCGCGTACGGTGGTCAAATAGAATTTTTTACAATCCGCAGTGCGAGAGTGTTTGTAATTTGAATTTCAGAGCAAAAATGTCGGCCCGTATACGAAAAATAAACGCGAAAGTTGCGCCGTAAAAATGCAATAATAACACCAGTGTGTGTTTTAATGTGCAAGAGGTGGCCACGTTTTGGCCGGAAATTGCAAAAAGGAAAAATTCTCTGCCCTCTGGTATTTCCAATTTCTAAAGCATAAACCCGTGAATTTTTTAAATTACAGTGAAATAATTTCAATCTGAAGGAAATTAAAACTAGTTTATGATAAACATGGCCTATTATACAAAATTTGCCGTTACAATGATCCCGCAAGTAACAATTTAAAATTAAAATTAATCTTATTCACACAGTGAAAATAATCAAGTTATATTTAACTATATTCCTTATAATCTTCTACTTTCTAATCTTTCAAATTAAATTAAATTTGGAATTTTTGAAAATATCTTTATTAGGTGAGAAATTTTATATAAAAATTTGCACTTATTTTTTCTATTCATCAGTTGTTGCAAAATATACAGACTTTTAAATCAGTAATATAATGGCATTTTTCAAAGAAAATTTGGCTTAGTTTTGATAACATTATTCCTCGATTAAAATGAAACTTACTTACGAATTTTTTAACAAAAGAAACTGAAAGAGGGCAAAGAGGCAAATAGATTGATTATTGATTCCTTCCGATTCCTTCAAAAAATGAATTAAAAATATTGCAGATCTAAAAATTAAATTTTTCCTGAAATTTTACTTTAGATCAATCAAAAGTTTTTTGCTTTATAAAATAGCAAATTGATAAAAAAAAAAGGATGTGGTGTCTGTAGGATAAATCATTAATTTTTGGGACTTATAGGAGCTAAAATTTTGAGATAAAAGATTTGAGCACAATTTAAATTATTTTTCGGTTCTATAATAAATTAGGGACACCGCCGAGCATGTATAAAGTTGGAGCGGTCGGAAAAGCGAGCGAGAGTAAAAAAAAATCAGCTGAAGCGAACTTTTATGGATGGAGTAAAAAAAAAGAGAGACAGCTCGTGTTCGATTGTGGCGCTTGGCGGCGCTGGCGTCGGCCGGAGGCCGCGGAGGCCTCGCTCCGGCACTCTTCGGATGTTCGAATCAGTTTAGTTGAGCAAGGCAGTGCGTGCGGTCTGTCGGCATGACTGCTCGAGAAGGCCGCTGAGCCGGCGAAATGCAGCAGGAGGCCGCTGCCTGCCCCCTGATGAGCCTGCTGCTTTGCGAGGTGATGCAGGCCCCCGGGCCCACGACCGCCCCCGCATCGACCCCCGGCACCGCCGACCAACTTTCGGCACTGCTCGCCCAGCTGGACAAGAAGATGGCGCCGACGATGGCGCTGAATGTCGACGCCGACAACTACATGCTCCGCCCCCGCTCCTCCAGCTTCACTGCCCCCGGCTCCACCGCCTCCGGAGGCGGCAGTCTGTCCGCCGCCAAGTCGCCGTTGGGCCGCATCGGCCCCCTTGACCTCGACGAGCTGTCTCTCCGCCGCCGCCCCCGGACCGCCTCAGAGGCGGCTGCCGCCTCTTTTGCCGCCCCCGAATGCGCCGTCGCCCTGTCGAGCCACCTCCTGAGGTGCGACTGCCGCCCCCGGTGCTGCTGCCAATGCGTCCCTGTTTCAGAGTGCCAAGCCTGCTTCCACGTCGTGTGTGCCGCCTCCGCAGCCGCCCCCAACGCTGCCCCCTGCCCCCGCACCGCCATCCAGATTCCGCCTCTCTTCACCAGGCCAATTGTGAGTATTTTTTCCAAATTTTACAAAAATTTATTTCAATTAAACAAGCCTGCCGGCTCTTGAAACTCGACCATTTTGCACCATAAAATCAGAATTTCCTAAAAAAGTTCCTTAGAATTAAAAGGGAATTTGTGAAAAAGCCAATTTCCAATATAAAAAAAATAATAATTTAGTTTTTAGCTTCAATTAAACTTCCAAAAGTTACTTCAGTCCTGGGGGAAAATTCCTCAGTTAGTTTGCAATGCACCTCAAAATACGGCATTTTGAGCCACCGGCAGTTTTGTTTAGAAAGAAACTTTTCCGAGCCAGAACCGCTTCTTCTTTGTCTCAATTTTTCTTTTCAAGCTCGGTATAAAGTTGAGCTTTTTGGAATTATTTTCTTCGGTTCTCCCCCCAGGTGCAAAAGTTTGCATATCCCGGCCTTGCGCTTTGTTTCAAGTCGGTTGTGCGCCGGCTGCATAATATAAATTTCTCCGGCTCGCTCACGCTTTTCGAGCAGCTGGAATCCCGGCTCAAATTCCACCAAATCCCTTTTGAAACGGCCGACGTTGAATTTCGGTTTTAATTAAAACTCAAAACAAGTCGCAAATCCCTTCGGAATGAAGAATTTTAAGTAAAAAAGAAAAGCGGCGCTGCCGGCCATTTTTCCTCTGCTGCTGGAGAGTTAAGGGTTGATCCGAGGGGCGCGGAGGGGTGGCGTGAGTGCAAGTGTGTAGTCACGTAGGCAGAGGAAAGGAAGGTGCAGCCATATCTGGGAAAGAAACTTTGAAATGGGCATCGGTTCCGAAAAGCTGCTGCTCAAAATGAAGCCGCCACCGCCGCTTTTCCGACCCCGTTCGCGGAACAAGCATCAGCTGACTTCCTGCTGGGCTGTTTGCATTGTTGCGAACTCACTCGCTCGCACCTGGCCCCTTTTATTGCCAGAAAATAAAAAAAAATATAAAAGTTCAGCCGACTCGCGCCGAGCGCCGTCGTGCCGCAGTTTCCGCAGCAATTTGTCACTCGGATGCGACGAATGTGTTGGATGCGGGAAGCGACCGGGGTTGTGGAAGAAAAAGTTGAAAAATTGCCGACGATCGCGGTCGATGGGTTGGAAACTCGGGTGGTTGCATTTGAAATTCTGATTTGCAGCAATTTTTTACTCGCAACGAGGGGCAACTTTTTCAGTTCCATTCTTGGGGTTGGATATAAATTTTAAAAAAATCAAAATAATCTTATTATTTCCATTATGAAGTTTATAATTATAGAAAAGGGCTGGAAATTTATGAGAAAAAGAAAATTTTAAGAAATCATTCAGCTAAATTTTTTGAAATTATGACCTTGTTTGAAAATCCAATGTTATGTTCTTGAAGTGAAAACGTTTTGGCAGGGGTTCATTTTCTAAATGTGTATTTCGGTATTTTCAAAACATCAATTTCGAGCTCAACAAATTAATTTTAGCTCCGAGATTTGCCTTTTGCCTTTTGATTCAAACACGCCTCTCTGATTAATTAAATGCGTATCTCTCGATCCAAGCTGAGACAATAGCGAATGAATAATAGTCAAATTCCACCCTTCCGGCGATATTTGCTTCCATCTCGAGTCGGCGCTCCAATTGCTGCATGTTAACTTGTTATTCTGGCGGGTGGAAACGCTACATGGCAACAAAAGCAACAACTGTTTGTTCTTCCGCGCCGTTCGTTTTCGTAGATGGGATAGGAATTCGAAATGAGAAAATTATTCATCTCCGAAAGCGCCCTGCACACCCTTCGGCAGCAAACGCCGCCGTATGTGTAATTATCCCGAGACAAGCAGAGGGTGGGTAGTGTGATTTGGTTTTCAGATTTTCACTCTCTCGAAACGCCCCCAGCCCGGCCGTGCGTACGATAATTTACATGCAGGGCCCGAATTAATTCACAGCGCCTGACGTCTGCACACGAGGTGCATCCGACGATTAAATCTAATAAACGCACCATTGTTGAGCGCGGCACTCATTTGAGCATGTCCGGCACTTCCTCCATTAAAAAAAAAAAGAAAAATAAGACAAGTCGCTCTCATCAGTGTAAATTTCTACATACATACACACAAGCCAGGCATTCCTCACCGCCTTTATTACATTTTCACGGTTGTGTGCCCGCCGGACTTATTGTTAGGCATTTTTCCGCTCCAACCCTACCTCACTGTGAAAAAACGCACCTTCACTCGCACTTCCGCTCCGGCTCTTCCTCTCGTCCGAATTCGCCGTTCCTCGCGCACCCCCTGATAGCTGAAAATGAACAGGGTAATAATTGGAGCATCCGCAAGTCTATTGTCAACGAAATTTTAGTTAAAAAATACTTCCTAAAATCAATTAAAGGAGCGAAATTTTTGAAAAAATGTACAATAAATTAATTGAGATATTAATTTGAAAACAAAATTATTTCGTATTTTGAAAATAATTCATACCCACAGTTTTTGCCGCTCTTGTAGATCATTCTCCTGTAGCCCTTTCCCTGCTGTGGAAATCAAGTTCGCCTGTTGTTAAATATGTTGTCTTCGTTTGGAGTTCAACCTTAATAGCAGGGTACATTGTAAACAATATTTCTCAAATCTCAATTGATTTTTGTTTTCAATAATTAAAACAACCGGAAAGAAAAATCACGAATTTATTCCCTCTGCGTTTTTAAAATGTTTAATTTTTTCAGTCTAAATTTTACATCCTCTGTGAGCATTTTCATTTCTCTTTGATGAGTTTGGATGCGCAAAAGGAAGCCTTGCAAACCCTCCCTCTATCCTTTTTAAGCCATAGATTAATTTTTCTCATTGCTGCTTTTCATGTGTGTGTTTCGGCGTAAAAATTGCCGAAATTACTTTCTCCAATGGTTTGTACAGAGAAACCGGAAAATGCGCTCATTTTTGCGGGTGAGAGAAGAAAATTAAAAGGCTTCCTGGCCGTGCAGTGTATGTGGATTGCTTTTGCTTTAATTTGTGCCTTTTAAAAAGGCAACGCCGAGAAAAGCTGCTTCTCGACGGTACATAGAAGCGCCCCAGGGATACATAGCGAGCGCGGCTGACTGAGTACATGGCCATTGTAGATAGGTTTCTCTCTCCAGCAGATCGGCTGTTGCGGTCGGAGCGATTTGATTGGTCGCTCGTCAAATAGAAGAGGCTCTTTTTACCTGGCTCGCCTGCAGGTGCGCACCGTGTGCCAACTTTTTTCTTTCTCGCACCGGCCCGGCCGAATCCATCGAGATTCGCCCTCAAATGAACGAACACACATTATATCCCTGATTTGCGGAAAAACATGAGCTCAAACTTTTCAAAAGTCCGCTTATGTGTGTGTCTAGAGTTGCGTGCTTGGGTACAGTTTCACCTCTCTAGAAAGAACTTTTCGATGGAGAGAGAGAGAAAAACTCGTTTTTCCCGCAACACAATTATACACAAAAGCGTGTTTTTCCGCAGCTTTGTAGGCTACAGATCAAAGGAGCGAATTAGAGAACCTTTTTTTCCTCTCATTAATTGCTCGGTGGCATTGTGTGCACCTAAACACCTATATGGTTTTTTTAGAGTTATCAAAACAAAGGGAGTCTTTGTGTTATTCAGGGATGTGTGTGTTTTGAGAGTTCAAAAGGAAAGGAAAAAAGTAAACGTCGTCGGCCATGTTGGCGTGACAAAATAATTTGAATAATTTCGAGATAAAATTTTATTCGCTCGCTCGCCGAAGAAATGCAGTCGGGCCGGCTTTTGTGAATTTATAGCTCGACTTACGAGACAGAAGTGCTGCTGCTTTCTTTCTTCCCGGGCACGCCGTTTCGACATTATTACTATTCTCTAAAGAATATATAAAAGAGTCCAAGGGAGGGGGGATGTTAGAGAAAAAAAGGCGACACACCGAGTGGAAAAAGAAATAAGAGGACCAGTTTTATACAACATTCATTTAATATAAAATACGTCGTTCTGTCCGGCGTGAAAATTGTGCCGATCGCCGAAGGTCGCCTTTTGTATAAAAGTTCTTCTTAATTTGGCGCCACATAAATTCAAGAGTGTCCCCACGCACCGAAATGACCTTTCCAAAAGTGCCGCTGCAGCCCGACTAGGGCTCATAATTCATTCTTTAATGGCCGCTGTGACCAAAAAGGGTACATAACTCCCCTTAAGAAAAGGAGAAGAAATTTTTCGCTGAAAGCGGAATTTATGCGCAAAAAATAAAGTTAATTTTCCAGAGTACATAAAAATATGTCTCGGAGCGATTTGAATTGTATATCAGATCCATGGCATTGCGTCAGATGCTTTTCGGAATTCGCTGAAGCCAAGTCTGCAGCCATCCGAATTCTGCCAATCGCAGCAAATTTGCCCGAATAAAACCGAACGCAGCATTTCCTGCGTGCGGAAAGTGCTGAGAATATTTTGTCGCACGCTCTCTCAGAAACATTTTTCCAATAATTCATTTTCTGCGATCGACTCGTTTCTTTTCCTTTTGTTACACACGCAGGTGAAATAAATAAAAATTGTATATATAAAGTTCCACTCTGCAGAAGCGCCCCGCGTGTTTCTGATTCATTATACACTGTTGGTGATAAAACGCTCGGGCTCGCTGAAGGTCTTTTTTTTTCAGAGCGCTCACGGTGCTCATTGAATGTGATTCACTCGCGCACGCATATGCACATACTATAGGAAGTATATATAGTACGGTGAGAAGAGTGCCGCACTCCAGGTGCAGCGTGTAATTTTCAATTTGCATTTCATGTTTAACCTTCGGAGCAGCTGGACGGCCGTTTTCGCAAAGTTTTGCACAACATTGTTGAGCAGAGAGACAATTAAAAGCAATAACAAAGCAGGAGAGACAAATAAAGAAAAGGGGAAATTGGTTGAGACATCAAAACAAACGCATTTTCCGGCATGTGTATTTTTATCAAAAGTGCGCAGGTTTTTAAAATGAAAATTTAACTTTGTTTTTTAATAAAAATTTAATTCTAATAAAAATATTTAATTAATTGAAGAAAGCAAAAATATCAGAGTGTTTAATTATTTCAATGGTGAGA